GAGGAGGAAAAGGTGGAGGAGGAGGAAAAGGAGGAGGAGGAGGAGGAGGAGGAGGAGGAGGAGGAGGAGGAGGAGGAGGAGGAGGAGGAGGAGGAGGAGGAGGTGGAAGTGGAGTTGAAGGTATAGAAGTGGTAGGAGGAGGAAGGGAGGAAGGAGGAGGAGGAAGGGAGGAAGGAGGAGGAGGAATAGGAAGTGGGAAAGGGAGAAGGGAGGAGGAAAGAGAGAAGAGGGATGAGAGACTGTGTTTTAGTCTAAATCTATTCTTTATAAAGTCTAAGTAAAAAAAAATAATAATATGAAGAAAAGAAGAAATAAGAAATAAAAAAACTAATTATGTAATGTCCATTGTCAGTTACATCTGCAATACATAATAATTTTCCTTCTAAGCTCTAATATATTCTGTTATTCATCTTCAATATCATTGTCACAGTCCCATTGGAAAAGGGAAAAATAAGTTTTAAGTGACAATAAATCAGATTACACTATCTAAATCTTTAAAGCTTTTAATTCTGCAAAATCTGATCTCTTCCCTTTTCACTTTTCCTTTCAGTCTCCATTTTCATTTTCTACATGTATCAGAAACTCCTGTGACATAACTCTTCATGAGCTCCTTCTTCAATATAATCTTTATTTTCTCTTTGTTGTCTATTCTCGTCATCATTTAAGATTTCTTCCATTCCATATTTATCATGCAGACTATATTACATTACCCTCTTCCTTTGTCCTTCTTAACAACATTATGCTCCATTCCTCTCTTCCTGAAAGGCCGTCATAGAGCCAATCAAAAAATGCTTCCCACAGACAGTTGTAACAAACAGCTGATAATGCGTCTCCAAACAATCTACCATTCACAGATAACTCGGGAGATAAGGGGAGAGACACCATGAGAATTTTCGTTAAATCGTCTTCACTTTGCCCATCATCCGACAAGATACGAGATAAGATAATTATGCGTTAAAGACCGGTCGGAGATTGGCCAAACATCCGACTCTAGTCTTTGAAGTAGGGTTATTTTTGTTCTTTAATCTTGAAATATTTTTTACTTAAATTGTGTGCTAAAAAATGGTTTGACACGATTCACAAGCTTTTGGGCCAAGGCAGTTTTGGGGTTTACATTCATAAAGATTGTCAATCTGTGCTGAGTAAAAGACTGACGAGTAGGTGTGACTTTTTGAAGCTTGGGGTTTCTTTTTATTACTGTGATAGCTCTTAAATGAGGATAAATGTTAATAAAAGTCCATGAAAATGCAACCACAGAAGGCTTGAGTTTACCAACCATACTTAAATAACAAGAAGATTCAAGTTTCCTTATTGCATGTGAATAACAGGAAAAAAAAATTGAGAAAAGAAAATACATAAAAAGAAAAAACACGATAAAAGGAAAAGAACTTAAAAGAGCAGATTATTAAGATTATCATTAAGAGATTATTAAGAGCTCAACACAACACCCAAGATCTTCCATGGCAAAGAGGCAAAGAGCTCTCTACAGCCATGGTACAGAAGAGGAAAAAGTAAAGACAACTCACATATGCAGGCAACAGTAACATAAAAGTTTGATGATGCTGTAATGAGTATTATATCCTGACAGAAAATGACAACTCTTTGTTGGAAAAATATACATATACTTCTATTTTGCTGAAGTGATTTGAAGGAAAGAAAAATTAGTAAGATCTTTGATGAAAATTCTTTTAATATTAAGTACATTCTTATCAATGAAGCTTTGCAAAACCTAAAAGAGCACCATTTATAACTCATTACTTCAACTTTAATTATCACTTTAATCAGATATTTATTTCAACAGTCACACTACTCCAGTGCTTTGATTTTATCTACAGATTCTTTTTCATAATCAAATGTCGCAGATAACACCTCATAAAATAAACTGCAATGTATACAGGATTTAATCATGTAATCTATTTTAAGGTTTCACTGTCCCAAATGATAAACGAAAGAGAAAACAGGAAAAACATGCGTGTGTGTGTGTGCGTGTGTGTGCGTGTGTGTGCGTGTGTGTGTGTGCGTGTGTGTGCGTGTGTGTGTGTGTGTGTGTGCATAAGTGTGTGAGTGTGTTTATATATGTGTGTGTGTGTGAGTATATATACATATATATATATATATATATATATATATATATATATATATATATATATATATATATATATATATATAGTCATATTATTGTCACCCTAAAGACAATTAAAATTATCTATAACATTCTTAGTAAAAATCAAACACACACTTACACATTCCCTCATGCTTGACCACTCCTTCAAGCAAAAATACATTTTCTGAAAATAAATCCAACCTATCAATGCTCAAGGTTCTAATGTAACTTGTTCATGCTCCCTACGTTCCCAATTTAGCCACGTAACTTCCCAATAAGCCACTCCCACCGCCGAGCACCCCGTCGTCGGAAACACCTTTGCCAACTCTCCACAAAATACTCGATGGCTTACAGGGACACCACAACCCACACTGGGAAAACACTTCTCACACTCAC